GGGGGCGGTGTCATGGGGATGCTAGTGCCTAGGGTAGACTTTGGAATGTGATTTTCTAGAAACTGCCCCTGCAACACACAAGTATATGTGGCAGCACTTTTAACAGCAGGGTTTGCTTCTGCCTATCTTTATTCCCCCCCCACCTTTAAATTTTCTTTAAGTTTTTGTTGAGAATATGCATGGCAAAACATACACCCGTGGAATAGTTTCTACACCAGCTGTTCTCAGGAGAAAGATGGGGCTTTTTACTCCCATGAAAATTTAGTCTCTGTCCTGTAGCATCACTCGACTTCGGCATTGACATGAAGGCAGAGAATTTGGTTTTGGTTTGGGCATTTGTACAAATCAGTGATACTAATTACTTTTGAAGTTGTACAACCAGGCTTACCTTCCTTTTCAGGATTGATTTTTCCTGATTTAACATAAACTGACGCATTGTTCCTGATGACCCACAGTGACCCTGTGGGACAGTGGAGCTACCTACCCCTGTGGGTTTCCAAGGATATCAACCTTTACAAGAGCAGGCAGCTTCATCTTGCTCCTGTGTGGAGGCTCGTGGGTTTGAACGGCTGTTCTTTTGATAACACTTCTGCATACAGGCTACTTGGTTGTCACTCAGAGAAATGGCTGAAATGCAACAGGATTTCTCCCTGGATGATGCTCACGATTATCGTTCGAGTCAAAGGCTTTTATTTAATGGCCTTTCCCTTGCCACCCAATATAGGCTGGTGGAAAGGAATGAAGCAGTTCCTCCCTGCCAAGTCAGTGGAACACGAGGAAACCCCAGTTCGCTACAGCAGCAGTGAAGTGAATCACTTGAGTCCCAGAGAGGTCACCACGGTGCTGCAGGCAGACTCTGCAGGTAACTCCAGGACAGCCTCCGGCACAAGGCAAAGGAGGTTGCACTTGCTGTCTTTAAGTGTCTGGCATATTTTTCACATTTAAGAGATGCGCTCATTTTCAAAGGTAGAACCACTTTTTTAAAAGATACCCCCAAAAGGGTCATTTCTGGGCTTTGGGCATTCATTTCTGAAAACTGCAGGTTTTGCATGTTCACTCAGTTCTTTGTTGTCTCAGTTTTATTTGAAGGCATTAGGAGGAAGCAGGAGAGACATACCATAGGTGTTTCCGTTGGTAGTCCTTTATTTGACGAATAACCTGATATCTGAAAGCAGTAATCTTTGAAATGATTTCTCTCAACTTAATAGTGTAAGAGTGGAATATTTACTGTCCAGTCAAACACTTGGGTACAGATCTGAGGACCGACGAGAAACTCTCTCTTCACAGTTGCTCAACTGCTGCCTCTGGCACCTCCTCGGTAACCTGAGTTTTGGGCCTGCCTCTCGCAGGCAGGAACTCCTTAGTACCCGTATTGTAAAAATACCATGGAGCTAGTGTTTGGTTTTGGCGTAAGCTTGCAGCTCCCACTCTAAAATGTGTCGTGTTTTGTGATACCCCTAGAGTACGCGCAACCACTTGTGGGAGGAATTGTTGGCACCCTTCATCACAGGTCGACCTTTAAGCCAGAAGAAAGAAAAGAGACTGGCTATGCCGACCTGGATCCTTATAACTCACCGGTGCAAGAGGTTTACCATGCCTATGCCGAACCACTCCCCATCACTGGGCCCGAGTATGCAACCCCCATCGTCATGGACATGTCGGTGCACCCCGCAGCCTCCGTTGGTCTGCCCTCCACGTCAACGTTCAAGGCCACAGGGAACCAGCCTCCCCCTTTAGTCGGAACTTATAACACCCTTCTCTCCAGGACGGACAGCTGCTCCTCCGCCAGGGCCCAGTACGACACCCCAAAGGGGGGGAAGCCAGGTGTGAGCGCCCCCGATGAATTGGTGTACCAGGTGCCACACAGCACGCAGGAAGTGTCAGGAGCAGGGAGAGAGGGTGAATGTGATGTTTTTAAGGAAATCCTTTGAAGGTGACGCTGCTTCTTACAAAGCATCGTTTTAAAGCACATGGCCTGTTTTTGCAGTCGCGGTACTCATATATATAGAATGTATTACGTTATCTGTTACTGAAATGGTTGAGGAAAATGTGATAACCAAGGTACAGGAAACTACTAATCTTGCCATCTTGCTTTGAAGGTATAACTGTGGCACCGTCACTGCTTGCCCGTTAAATTCCGAACATCTTGTTTGTTACTACTGTAAAACACTATTTTTAATACAGACAAAACTTTCTATAATGCACTTCGAAGAAGTGAAGAATCACTGAGAGAAAGTATTTATTAGCAGTCCTTGCAGGTACATTCTGAACTCGAGCTGGCGCACAGCCCGTCTGGCAATAATGCACAGTACTGTTCTTGAACTGCCTAATGGCTGGGAACTACTCTCTTTGGGAACCGGTGGGTACGATCGTAGCTTTCTCCTTTTTCTATTCCTAGATTGCTTTCCAGATTTATTTTTTTAAAGAATTATTATTTGTGATATCGTCATTGTTATTATTGGCAGTCGTATACACTTCTTCCTCTTTCACTAGGAAGCTCTTTAACTGGGAACCTCTTGATTGCAGTGAGCAGGGTGCCCGTTTTCTCACTTCTTGGCACCCTGTAGAACATTAACGCTTCATGGTACGTGACCTGGTCTCATCCCTGCTCATTCCGATGGGGCACTTGGTGGCCAGAACCATTCATGTGTTTATCAAATACTTGTTTTGAGTTTGTTCAGTGGTTGACACTTGCTTTATCAACTGAATCAACCTCATGAATTCAGGTCCTCCCCTGGGGTAGGAGGGGAGTGGGGGTCAGTTTTCTGAACTTCCCCAGTGGCCCCATGGAAGGGGGATCAGGCGGTTGTCTTCCTAGGAGAGTCGAATTGGGCAGTTCTGCTCTGCCCTGCAGGGGCACTCTGAGTCAGAATCCACCCCACAGCAATGATTGTGGGTAATACCTTAATAGAGAAATGAATTTAATATAGAAAAACCATGACAGGGGATTCACTCATTCTCTCTCTCTCTTACACACACACACACACACACACACACACACACACACAGGTTATTTTTTCATAATAGGCTTTTTCCTGGGAGAGTCTGACAATTTACAGTGAATTTAGTGACAAGTGTAAACATGACCCAATCATGAATCTCACAAGGCAAGATCATTTGCTCACAAATAACAGATTTTCTTAAATTGAATGTCAGTCTTCCCTCTTTTGTTTTATATAGAAAGCTTTCTCTGAGTCTCAAAGTAGTTAAACTTTGTTTCAAAACTTCTAATTAGTAGAAGAAGGTCATTTTTCTTGGCAGATTTCTGCAGTAAACTGTTGTATGAACTATAAACTCAGCCCATGTTCTTTAGTTCTGATTCTTGTCTTGTTCTGTGTAGTTAGAGGCACAAGGAGGCCTTTTTCTTTGGTGGTCACACATGGACACACATAGTTAAAGTATCGCACGGAAAAGCTGGCAGCCTGTGTGAGAGTCAAGGCTGTATGTGACGCCCAAAAGCAGCTCTTGTCACTATTCGTGACCTGCCCCTGAACTAGTTTGAGGTATGGTAAAGCTCAGAGCCTCTGTGAGTTGTTAGTTACTCGGTAGTGAAAAAGGAGCCCCGTTGGTGCAATAGTTAAGCATTCAGCTGCTATCCAAAGAGTAAGTAGTTCGAAGCTCCCCAGTGGCTCTGTGGGAGAAAGGCCCGACAAATTGCTTCCATAAAGATTACAGCACAGCAGACCCAGAATGTCAGTTCTGTCACATGGGATCGTTGTGGGTCAGAACATGACTTGACTGCATCCAGCACCATACTGTAAAAATGCCTTTAAAAGCCTTAAGACCATCAAGATGACGCCAGTAGACTACGGAATAGCAATACCTACATTTGACACCCCGCCGTAGCCCCGTAGTTTGCCATCTTAGTGTTGAGAAGCACCTGCCCGTCAGATTCAAGTCACCTCTGCTGACCTGTGTCTCCAGCACCGACTTTTATAAGGACGAATAGTATCCCGCGTATCTGTTTGCACAAGCAGTTCAGTCTTCGAAACTGCTTCTACAATACAAGTAGAACTGGGCGTTTCTGTGCCCTCCTGGTCCCTTTTCTCTAAGCTTTAGTTTATTTATTTTTTCACTTTTTACTTGCTTTTCCTTTTCCAGACACACTTTGAGGCATGATTTTACTCCGGAAGGAGCAAGGCTATTTAGTCGCAAAACACGTGGAGCCCAAAGCACAGACGTTGAACTTGACTCTCTAAAGCACAGGTACTCATGCAGGTGTCCCTTTTCAGGTGTCATGCTTACCATACACAGAGTATACATTTCCTCCAACCCCGTGTCTGTTTGGAGCTTTAAAGAGATGTTTCACAACTTCATTTTCCCAAAGATGCTTGCTGTTGTGTAATTGTGTTCAATCTTTTATTGTAGGTTTTTGGGGTTTTGCGCCCTTGCTCTGGGCCTTTTGTTTTCTGCAGGAGAGGGGCACGTGTTTTCTTTAAATGACGCATACTTTTAAGACGATTTGGATCCCTGCCGCGGTGCTGCCCTTGAACTTCCAGTGATTTTTTTAAAGTGTCTAGTTTTAACTACTTCTCTATATTTTACTTTCCAGAGGACAAGCCGAGCCTGATTCAAAGGGTTTTTCACTTTTATAATACATTTGTTTTCATATTAGAAGTTTTTTGTTTCTTTGTGTAAAGCTAAGTTTATACATGTTATATATACAGCTTTAGAGACAATCAAGTAACAATTGAAAATGTGAAAGTAAGCATTTTGGACAAAAATCCCCTTGAATTTCCATTCTTTGCTTGAAACATTTGAAAGACTTAAGTCACTGTGGTGTATCGGATTCACACCCCTCCCCTCCCTCCACGTCCCCCTCCCCCATTCATACACTTGTAGAAATAGAACCAGACGGTGACAGCAGCAGGCATGGCCATTACAGCGTTCATAAATGAACACTGAGTTCGCTGTGACTTGATCTTATACGCCAGCACCATTAAAGGGTAGATTGTGAGGATCGATTTGTATTTTATTAAAGACTGTAAATCTAAAGTGATTGATTCTATTGTATGCACAGGGTGTAGTCTCGTCTACAGTTTATTTAAGTTCATATTTCACTGCTTGCACTTTGCATTTAGCAGTGGGTTTATTCACTGGTGAAATGGTTTGAGTAGAGAATTTACACGGGAGTCGACATGACGATATTATGCATGTGCTTACTGTCTCCCCTTCCCCGTGGGGGCTCACATCATGCAAGTGCAGCCACGCTGCTGGGAAAGGGATTCTGCATTGTAACCCAGAGCCACTCCAGCAGATCAGTATGCCGCGAAAGAACCAGTCGGTTGAGGGCCATTGAATGCCTTTCAGACCCTCCGAAACCACTGAAGCCCTGCCTACAGATGAAATACCCTTTAGCTCGGCCTTCCAGGTTTGAGCGTGAAGCCCCTCAGCTGTGAGGTGCAGGTGAGTGGTTATGACAATGACACTTGGGTCTCCTCGGGCACCAAGTCACATTTATTCATGACTTTGTCTTCTCTTGCCTTTTTTTCCCCCTCTTGGGCACTGAGAAAGGTGGAAACAAACATTCAGTGAAATATGTATTGGAAATGAAACGGCTTGCGCATCAGTGATGTCCCCTCCAGAATGTATTTTTCTTACCTCGGCATGTACTGTAGTCACTCAGTATTTGTATATGTTGCTAGAATCTAGATTGTATAAATAGTGAGGGTTTGAATGTGTTCCGTGTGTTTTATTGTATATATGTTTTTTGCTTAAATTACTTGGCTTAAATAAAACAGCATTGATGTTTGTAGCCATTTTGCCTACTGCCCGAACCCAATTCCACCTCAATTTTAACATCACTTCAAAAGAAATTTCACAGTTAACAATACAGTTGCTTACAGCAACATTTGAAAACATTGCCGAGAGTTTTCGACGTGGACTGGTTTTATTTTTTTCTGTGCTCAGCATTATCTTTCTTGAAGTCTGAGACCTGCTTGAAGGTTGATGTACTTTGTAGCCAGCGTAAGGAGTGTGCAGGTGGGACTGGTGAGGTTTGGAGGGAATAAGCTGTCCCCATGGGCCCCCATGTGGATTCTACTCTGGTACCGGCCCTTCCAACCTCACATTAATTGTGACAATCGAGTGAAGCCGTGGCACGGGGCAGGGGTATGCTGGTGTAAAGGCTCCTGAATACGTAGCTAGGGCAGGTGAAAGCCGCTGCTAGTTTTCTCCCCCTTGTGCTGCTTTGCAGCATGTCCGGGACTCCTGTTTGCTGATGCTGGGAAGATGTCTCAGCTTTCATACCAGGGGTCCTCAAACTACGGCCCACACATGTGGCCCACCGAGGACATTTACCAGCCCCGGGTGTTTTGCCCCATTGTGTCTTTTACTTCAAAATAAAAAATGTGTAGTGTGCATAGGAATTTGTTCATAGTTTTTTTTAAACTATAGTCCGGCCCTCCAACGGTTCTGAGGGACAGTGAACTGGCCCCCTGGTTAAAAAGTTTGAGGATCCCTGCTTTACACACTTTAGAGAGAGGCCGGTTGGTTGCCAGTACGATCGTCAATTTACTATTCAAAATAAATTGTCTGTCTTGTCTTCAGATAATTTCTGTTGCCATCCTTCCAATAACCTCGACTCTGGTCTTCTTTTCTTTTCTCCCTTTATCACAAATCTCTCCCCAAATATCTTTTAGCTTTATTCACATTTGGGAAGAGAGACTAGCTCACCACACCTAGGACTGGCTTGTCAGTCTGCCAGTGCTTCCTTCCTGCTCTAGAGGAAGGTGGGCAGATAAGCTGTCCATCTCTCCTCACAAGAAAAATGGCGACTTGCATCATGAAAATAGTTTTTAAATTCAAAACAAAAGTGACTAAAGATTTATTTACTCAGTATCTCATCCTCATCTCTCCTTATTATGTCTAAAGTTAATTATTAATTAAATAAAGCCATAAATGAACCCAGGCAGAAAATATTTAAGGGTTTTCTTGAATTTAGCTCCCGTAGTTCCACCAGGCATTTCATAATACATTATTTACTAATGGAGAATTTCATATTTAGCCTATTACCTCTAGCTCAGAAATTTCAAAATGAAAAAAAACAATCTTTGCTCTCTCAGACTACACGATAATCTTTTGGTTTAATCAATTGCAGAAAACAGGCTGCATTAAACCAGTATGACCCTGTGTCCGTGTACACTAATGTAAGATTCAGATCAGGCTTGCCAGGTAGAACGAAGAATTAACCATTTATCTACATATAGGCCTGACATGGTTCTAGTTCGCAGATCAAGACGTGTCTGTTCCCTTGGATGCAGACTCGGAGTCAAATCTCTCAGCACGTCAGGTGCTGTGGTTGTTTGCAGTGAACTAAAACCCCGTACTTCACATAGAGGAAATTATCTTCCTTCAGGGGCTCAGGTAACATAATGAAAAGATGTTGAAAAACACCTCAGAAAGCTAGCTTGTTTACAGACAGAGTGCAACCAAAACTTTAATTTTTTCCTAATTGCTAAACATAAGTTTCCAAAAGTTAAATATATTCACAGAAACCAGGCAGCAACAAGCTTAATATACATAATATTTGACAATTGTCTTCAACATATTTAAAAATAAACTAGAAATCACAGTATAAAAATAAAACTAATACTATTCATGTCATCTTTTGGGTCTTGGTCATTCTTGAGTCAGATTGATTACATAGTTCTTTTCTAGAATATCCTTCAAAAAGGTCTGTTCTGCTGTCACGTTGTGATAGACGTTCTAAAGAGAGGGGGGAAAAATTAACCATCTTTCCTGAGGATCAAGCCCCACACAACATTTACTGAATGATTCTATAAATACATCTAGATACCAATTGTAAGGACGGGTTGCTCAATTTATACAGGCAGCATCTGGAATTCTTATACTGGGGACATGGATATATAGATATATAAATAATTTCTGCCCTTTCAATTGATGCCTTAATTTCCCTCCTTTTTTTTTTCTTCTTTTAACATTTTAGCTTATTTAAAGGACTACTCAGCCCAGAGCAATTTTAATGTTCTGTTGAGGTAACGTGATATTTCACAATTGCTGCAGGAGGGGTTAGATTAGAGCTAAAGCGAAATGAACCGAACCTAGAGTCTGCAAAGTGGCCCTGGTGGCCCTGTGGTTGAGCGCTTGATTGTAATGAAAAGATCGCGAGTTTGATCCCACCAGCCACACTGCCAGAGGAAGACCTGGTGATGTGCTCCCATGACATTTACAGTTCAGTAAACAATGAGACAGCCCCACTCTCTTCTGTAGGATCAGTGACACACAACCGCAGAGCTTGGGAAGTGATCCATTTCGTTGTGTCCAGTGAGGGTGGTGCCTCCTATTGTACGTGGGTCACTGGGAACTGGAATTGACTCTAAGACACCTAACAACAACATCCTGAACAATCTCCTTGATTTAATTATGCAGTCTTGGGGAAGGATCTCAGGGGCTCTATCATGTAATTTAGAGTCATGGTAGTGCTGGTGGGGTCAGTGTTGGGCTGTTGACTATCGAGCCGCTGATGGTTCAAATCCACCACCTGCTCCATGGGAGAAAGGTGAGGCTGTCTTCTCATGCAGAGTTGGAATCGATTCAGTGGGAGTTGGTTTATCCATATATTCTATGGTAACTGATTCCTATTTCAGTATTGAAAGTATACAGGATAAGATTTATATCTTATCACATGTGATTCACCACTAATCTAATCAGGTGAAGGAGGAAGTTTCTGATTCCGGAAAGTATGACCACATAGAAAGGTCTGCAACCATTTTTTTTTTTTTTTTTTTTAGTAAATCTCATCTGCTGAACTGCAGAAGCACATAAAAAGTGTCCCCATGATTACATGGGAATACATTAAAGTTAAGTATGTATGTTTAAATTCTGCAACTAAAACTGATGACCCCTGCAGCCATAATTCCTTCTGTAATTCTGGACTGTCTACTCCTATGCCTATAGGACCACTGTGGACGGCATTCTCTATTAATGAACAGGGATAGGATGGGATTGAGGCCTGATCATAGAAGAAGGTATGATCCTTACGTGAGGATCAAACCTCACACCACATATATGGATTCAGTGTATAAATCAATAGAGATACCAGTTGTAAGGGTAGGTTTCTCAAATTATACAGGTAGTACCTGGAAGAAGGGGGAACTTATAAAGAATTCTGTGTGTGTGTTTGTGCATATATATAAAGACATCCATTGAAAGAGCAGAAATATATATACGTACACATGATAGCCATTGAAAGGATTGAAGGGCAGATATATATATATAGATATATATACACAGGTGTATATATATCTATATACATACACACACATTATCTTTTCAATGGGTGTCTTAAGTTTTTCCTCAAGAATTAATGTTACTTATTTAACATCTCATTTATATTTATTTTTTTCTTTAACATCTAACTTGATTGCATCTTTAAGCGCTACCTTCGTGTACAGGGTGTGAACCAAGCCTTTGTTCCCTTGGGGACATCTTTTACCCGATCGTAGTAGAGGGCGTGACCTGAGACACCATCCTTTGTTTTCCGTGGTAGATCGGGGTAGTACCGGACAGCCTAACACACATAGCCTCATGTGGAATACCACATATGACCAAGCTTTGGTAGAAGCAAGACCTGCTGTAGCTTTGGGACATGTTTGGCTTCTGGCTCTGGGCCCCTCTGCCTGACCTTTGGATATTGGACTGAACAGCACCCCACTTCTCATGAGACATTTCCTCAAAGTCCTTTCTGTGGGAAGTTGTAGCCAGTTGGGGAGGCCAGGGCATGAGGGAATATTCTCAAAGGAGGAGTGTGAAATAAAAAGGGAGAATAGGCTTTGAGAAGAGCTGGACATTTGGGACATAATTCTCCAAATTCCTGGGACTAGTTCTGTATTAATTTTTCCAAGAGATACTGTTATCCCTGTAACCAAGAGGTTCTCCCTAAGGGTCTAAGGCCCCCAAGCTGGGACTTGCTACTGTAGAGAAAGTTCCATTGGCTTAGGTCCTAGTTCCAGCAGCTAAGGACTGTGACCCCTAGCAAGCTATCCGTCTTTCCAAATCTCACCCCAAAGTATGGTGTCTTTTACCTTGCTCATCAAAGACATGGTGGTGTTTCCATAATAGTGCAAAAGACTCCCACTGTCAGAAAAATTATATTTGAAACCAGCTATGTGAACTTCATGACATATATGAAATGCAAATATGATGGCAATAATTCCTGTTGTCGGGTGTTTGGGTTTCTGGAAAGAAAAAATGAGAACAGAATTAAACGGAAGACATTCCCAACAAGCTCCTTGGCATCTGATGCACCCCCGAGTGGAATCATCCTATCTCATGCGATGCTCATCTTGCCCTCAGGCTCAATCTCAAAATACATCTCAATACACATGACTTCAAATAGAATTTAGCTGTGACACGAGCCCTGAGGAATCTCTGGGAGGTACGGTGTGCACTCATCTGCTAATCAAGAGGTTGGGGATTTGAATCTGCCCAACAGTACATGGATGAAGGCTATCTCTGTCAAAAAATTAGCCACAAAACCTCTGTAGAGCACACAACTGTTGGGACACGTGGCATGCCGTGGATGAAGGTCAAACTGACTTCAGTCTGTACTGCTTACATCATAGACAACTGGGGAAGGAACACTGCCAAGGATGCTTTAAAAAAAAAAACAACGGAGTCAGGCTTCCTGGTGGAAAGAGCAAAGCCTTTAGAGATTTTGAACAGTGTATGAAACATAAAGACAATTTAATTCACTAATAGAATCCTCATCACAGACTTCATTTACATTAACAGCCTATTGTTTCAATGATGATCCGGACAACTTAAAAGTATCTCTAGGAAAGGTAATGGGCTGTGGATGGACTGCTGATCACAAGGTCAGTGGTTCAACACCCAACAGCGATTCCATGGGAGAAAGATGTGGGCGGCTATGTGCTCTCAGGAAGATTTCGAGTCTTGGAAGCCCTTAACTGTGAGTTAGAATCAACTAGCTGACAGTGGGTTTAGTTTTGAGTTGGAGGAAAGGACTAAACTTCAAAGACAAAATGTAACAATAAGTATCTGACTTGAAAAACAAAGGTTCCAGAAGTATGACAATGGGACCCTCTCAACAAAGTCATTAAACCCAAAACTCATTAAATCAATTCCAACCCATAGCAACCCTATGTAAAGTTCCCAAGGCTGTGACTATTTATCAAAGCAGATAGCCTTCCCTTTCCTTCCCCAGCAGCTGATGGGTTTGAACCACTAACCCTGTGGTTAGCAATCCAGCACTTGCCTGATAGCACTACCAGAGCTCCTGACAGGATCATTAGCAGTTAGAAAAGAAGAAATCCAGCAAGTAAACGCTTAGGAAAACCACGAGACTAGATGTTGGACAGGAGGGTCTTGGTCATTATCATTTTGATTTTCCCTGGGTGGCTTTCAAAGGCAAAAACATTTATTTTACACATTTTACATAGCAATTCAAGGAGGTTGCCTTTCAATTAAATCTTAGGTATCCCATGAAATTCACAGGATTACTTTTAGGAAAATAAAATGTGCCCCGAGGACGAGCCTGTTTGCATGCCTAACACCACTTAGCATAAGTTTGTGATCGCCAACACTGTTGTGATCCAACCACAAGGCTGTATGGCATCTGCTAAACAAAGAAGTTAATGGTTGGTCGAAAAACCCAGGAGTCAATCGGGATTCCTTTTCTCTGTTCTAATCCCCCCCCATCATGTTCATTACCTTTCTTCCTTTCCCACTGTAGAGTCCTTGATTGATCTTCTTTCTCTTGTGTAGACTGTCAATATTCCTCATCCTTCAAATATTAACCCTAATTAATTAAACCCAAGTCTCTAGTTCTCTGTGGTTCACCCCTTTTGGGGTCGAGAGACCCTTTCACAGGGGTCACCCGATTCATAACTGTAGCAAAATTACAGTCTTGAAGTAGCAACGAAAATAATTTTTGTGGTTGCAGGGGTCACCACAACATGAGGAACTGTATGAAAGGGTCACGGCATTAGGAAGGTTGAGACCCACTGACCTAGTTACTCTGTACTGAGCAGCAAGAGAAAAGCAGTAGCTGCCGGGGTTTCACCTTAAATATGTGACTATATACCCGAAATAGGCTTTAGATATGTTCAGTAATCTAGTTACATCCACTCTATTAGTGAATGTCCAATCCTTCTTGCCCAAGACGACGGCTTTATTAGCTACATCCCCAAAGCCCTAGCCGTCTCTTTTCTTTAAATTGTCAAGCTAACCCTCATGCCCTTAATATTCTTAGGACAAGAGAAGCAATCATTATAGCAGCAACAAATCCAAATCTTTCCCTGTATTTTCAGTGGTCACCCCTTGTAGTGGGCAGGATGCCCCCTTTCCTTTCTACAGGCAACCTTTTTCCTATTGTGCTATATTTTACCCCATCTTTCAATAACTTTATTTCTACCACTTACTTTCCCCCACCTTACCAATATCGTCCTTTTTTGAATCATTCCCTTCAGTGTGCTCATATCATCAAAAGAAAACCTCCTTTTACAACTAAACTCGATGAAGATTTGCCTCTGCTTGCTTATGCCCCCTTTCTCCTTAACTTCACGGTTCGTAATCAGGGTTTATTTTTTCTGTATGTGCTCAACCTTTGGGCAACATCCAATATGGCTGACCTCTGTTGAATGACAGTATTGTCCTCGTTTGGCTTCTGGAATATATGTTTTACAGCGTCAGTTACAATTAGTCCTAGTATCCTCTGTAAATGACTAGTTTCTTTGTATGCATGGAGTTAAAGATACACCAATGATCATACAAAAAATATGATCACAGTTACAAAAATAGAGGAACTATAAAGTTATAAATCATAAATTCAGATCTCAAAATTAATAAAATGGAATTTTCATTTATAATAGGCATAGTTTTTGATTTCAGGGTTCCACCTTTTGGAATCTAAACTTGTGAGCAAAACCCCCGTATCAGAACACGAACAGCTGTATCCTGTATAGCTCTGCAAATGCTGGCTAGAAACACAATGTCTACGGAGGGGTAGTCCATTAAAAAGGAAATCACAAAGAAGAAAATATGGTGGTATAATCCCAGTCACCTTGACCACACGAAAGGGTGTTGCACACCCGTTTGCAAATGCAGAGAGGACACTGGGCAGCACACGTTGGGGGCGGCAGGAAGGAGAAGGGAAGGCTCTTCCCACGCTTTCGGGAACGCGCCTTTTGAAGATGTGTGACCTTTTTTGGTCACAATTTTCATTACACTGAAGAAGAGATTCCCAGTTGTGTATTCATTTCTTTGGGTTTTCTCTGCATGACAGAGGGCAAACCTTATTTCAGCTGAGGGATCACGTGTCTAGAGAGCAGACTAAGCAGGGCTCCAGGGGTCAGAGTCCAGATGTCTTTTACCTAAATTGGAGTGGTTAAAAAAATCAAAAACCAAACTCGCTGCCATCGAGCGAGTGTGAACTCATAGCGACCCCTGTGGGTCTCTGAGACTGTAACTTCATGGGAGAAGAAAGCCCAGTCTCTGCCTCGGAGCTGCTAGCTGTTTTGAACTGTCAACCATGTGGAGTGGAGCCCAAACGTTTTAACTACTACCCCACCAGGGGTCCTCATTTGGAGTCTCTAGCAGGGCCAATATTTCTATAACAAACATTTCTTGAGAAGTTAGTGCAAATGGCTCCTCTCTCAACCACACCGGCAATATTTCTGGACCACCTTATTGGCCTTCCTCCTCTGCCCTTTGGTTGTGCTCTGATGTTTTCATTACAAAGACTGCTTCTCAGCCTGTTCTTTTCAGCCCCAAGAGCCAAGCCGTGCACCTGTCCTGCAACTGGAAGCAGAAGCCTGTTCATTAACCCACCCCTCTAGACGAGTCTGTCAGCTCCCCAACAGGAAGGCAGGTCAGCTGCAGAATTTGTGTGGGCCCCTCCCAAGAGCAGGGAAAGAGAATTCTCCACTTGAGGTTATTTTCCTTGCAACCCATAAAATCATACTCTCCAGAGCTGACTCACTCAGTAACTCAACAGCCACCCGCAGGAATGGGGACTTTCATGCAGTGCTGGGAGCCCAGGAGACCCTCTTCCTACCCCTGTGAGATCGTCACTATGAAACCTCAAAGAGCCATACATACCACGTTTCTGGGAAACACTTCTGGGAATTTAAGCAGGTTGTAAGCTGTTCTGATAATGTAAGGATCTAGTATTCGGATTTGATAAGGCTTATAGATCAGCTGTAAGGCTGGTTTCTTCCAAAAACCTTTGCTGTTCTGAAATAAAGTAACAATAAAGAAGATAGTACATTGCGATTTGTTCATTTCTTAGGGGGGGTAGGGAGAGGAGGGCTGAAGGCACGGAAAAATTAACTGAAGGCAGGTTAATTTTCCAACTTACTATTTTGCCACCTATCAATAATTCCGACAGCCATTTTAAATCAAGTGGCTTAAAGGCAGTGAGAATCGCCGTCACATTGGGTTCATAGTGAATGGGATCTGAAAAAACGGATTCTGGATAAAAAAGTCGAAAAGTTGTCCTTCTTCCAACTTCCTTTTCATATCCTAAAACAGGACCATTATTCATCCTGTGGACAGTGAAACACACAAGAGTGCAGACCAGATGTAGTAGCAGTCATTGCCATCATCACTCGAATAGGGTTCCATGGAACAGACCAATGTCAACCATTTTTTTTCTGTGCTTGAAGCCACAAAGCGATTGGGCAATCTTTTTCAAATATTGACCAGTGTGAACATTCCATTTCATGAAATAGTTGCTTGGATCAAAGGCAGAGAAATTCTTTTGTATTAAAAAAAGCTAATTGTGGAAATAGTGTTGATTCAGTTCTTTCAGGAAACGGAAGATTTAAAAAACAATAGATGCACAGGATCCTGAAGTTGAAGCGAAACAGACAAACCGCCTGGGGCTAGGAAGCCCACACTTGCTTCAGGTGCGACATTACTGTTGTAACACATAGACGGGTGCACAGCTGACCAAAGGGCATAAAGAAAACACCATGGAGGTGATTTGAAGCTGATGGAAATGCTTGTACTCCAAAGTAAAATAACAATATAAATTGGCCTGTCTTGAGCCTGAGTACAGCAAATGGAAGTCTACTGTTAGGGGCCCACAAAGAGCTAGTGTGTGCTCAAAGCCAAAGTTAGACAGGCACCATTTCTCCGCACACCAAGAAAGCTTGCTTTTAAAAAGGAATGCTTTGTTTCTAAAACAGGGTCCCCTAGAAAGATAAATACTGTTTTATCCTTTGTCACTGACTGTAATTTAAGACAGTTGTCATCACACTTGAAATGATTTCCGTAATGTAATGCCACCAGGGGTTAGTTTTCTCACAAGGGCTTACTGTGTTTCTTAAGTGAAAAGATTTTTGGCAATTGTGGGTAAAGGAATTTGTGATTGCTTCAAAATTGTTTTTTATTGAAATGATCACCACTCCCTCCAAATGGATAGTAAACAGCCAACACCGGTCCTGGCTAAGGGTCTTGTTAGGTTGAGACTCTTAGCAGCGGGGAACCCAGTAGGCTCTCTCTCCCCAGTTCACCCTCAGTACTGCCAGACGGTCTAAATGTACTGTCCCAGTGGGCTAGCCTGTATGCATCTGTCCATAACACTCCCGATCTAGACACTTCTGCAGATGGGGACCTTGCCTCACACTTGGACGGTGACAACAGAGAAGCACTGCATCTGGGGGACTCTTGCTAATTGTACCCACAATCCTTGCTTTCCTTCCTTTCCCTTACACAGGATCCACCACACTGGTGCTCTGGACCCCACCATGCCCTTCTCGATACCAGACCCAGCTTGACTCATTTCCTGACTTTCCCAAGAAACAAAATCATTTTTCTTCCCTTGTTCAGTCTCCAGACAACATCTCACTTCTCCAATTCACAGCACCCTTTCTCAAGAGTTGCCTCGACCAGTTTTTCCACTTCCTCCCCTAGCATTCTTCCACTTGCTCCGCTTGGCCTTCTCCCCACGTTACACCTTGGAGCCTACCTTCATCAGGAACGTTAGTGGCCCGCAGGCTGCTAATCCAAATGGTGACTGACCGCAGTAGCCATGGACATCCTTCCTTCAGCCCTTACTTGGTCCTAAGCCATTTTGCCCTCTTAGTTTCTGTACTTCCTTTCTGATTTTTTTTCCTTCAGCACAGGTGGATCCTCTCCATCTCTTTCACTCACACTTTTTTCTCCCTTTGCTCAGCCTTTGAGTTTGGAATGCTCCAAGCACTAGGCCCTCTTCCCTCGTGGAGTCTCTCCGTGGGAAACGTCAACTAGTTCTCTGGTTTCAATTACGAGTCTATATCCACCCAGCAGCAGTGGGGTCTTGTTCGTCATAGGCTGTTGGCCAGCCAGATTTGACCTGGCTTATCCACCCGACAGCTTAATCTATATATTTCAAGTGTAATAGTTAGTAAGTACTTAACATGTTCCCAGAGAATTTGTGAGTCCTCCACACCTGCTCCAGTCCATCGTTTTCAGCTTTGTGAATGGAACCCCCTCTCCAGCCAATCCATTCAACAAAAATTCCAAAGAAAAGGCATCCTGGTTCATTATTCCCACACTCCTTACATCGACTGCGTCAAGACATCCCATTGACTATGTCTCACACATCCCCAGTCTGTCCACACATGTCCTCTGCTGGGAGAAGCCACTGTCATTTCCCACCTGAACACAGCGCCCTAACTGGCCTTATTTCCCTCTTGGTCCCTCATGGTCTAGTCAAAATCCGAATATTTCAAAGACACAAACCAGGTCCCATTTCTCACTGGCTGAGAAAATCTTCACCTGCACTGTACTACACCTGAAAGAAAACCCAACGTCTCATGCTGACTTACAAAGCACGACACACCTGCTCCTGGCCCATCTGTTGAGCATCAGAGAGCTCTGCTCTGCACACCTGCCTTCCTCCTACCTCGATGGTTTGTTTCCAGGACCACGGTCTTAGCAGCTACCTTAAGCATTCACTCTGGCTGGACTGCTCGCTAACCTTCATGTCGCTGGGACAGTCTGACTATTTGGGTCCTATTTCCATGTCTCCTCAAAGTGGTCATCCACACTGGCCACAGCTCCTCCTCCAGCACATCATTAAAAAAAACAAACATGATGTTTGTTACTACACAGCATCTTGTTTATCACTTTGCCTTCCGTTTGAATGAAGCTTGATGAGGGATGTAGTCACTAGACCTAGTATATTAAGGGAGCTTAATAAGTGTTTGTTGAATAAATGAGCTGCAGCCAATAATTGAGCGAAACTGTTGTGTTATAAAGTACGTTAGCAAATGTCAGCAACCCTTCTTCCTTTTCAATTACAGCTATACTACAGCAGGAAATCATGTTTTGAAACAATTCTAGCTTAAGAAATGAGAAACACCCTTACCTTATTATTACATCATAGGAGTCGATTTTTTCCCCTAGCATCGTATTCTTTAAAATTCCTCCATTCCCCACCACCACACACCTTTTACATGGCACGCTGTCGGATAAACAAACAAGGTAGGGATTGAGTCAGATTTCACAAAACAAGGTCATTCTCAGAACGCCATTCATTCCGGAGCCTGAGGCCCAATTTCGTTTTGTGGCCCAAGTTGAAAAAGCACTGTTGTCTAGGTATGTATCAAATTCAAGATACACGAGTTACCATTCCACAGCAGTGAGAGTATAATCACCCCCACCAGTGACTTGAACATTCTTTCATTTGCATAGCCAGCCACTGAGATAAGGAAGCATGTTTAACCCCATTTTACGTTTTACAAATGACAAAAGAAATGCAGAACACTTAAGGTAACACTTTCTAAGTCATTACTCCAAGAAGACAGGTAGGAGGGACTATAGATCTAGAACTCTGACCCAAAAAAGCCCACCTTTTGTCACAGAATTCTGCATGCTGATATTGCTACAAGGATGTCTTATATGTGTGCCACTCGTTCTCTGAGATTCTGTAGCATCCTTACAGTGTGGGTCCAGATAGTTGGAATCTGGTAGAGGAAGGACCACTTCCTTGTTCCATGTGTGTGCCCACTTCAATTCCACGAACCTGGACTAGTCTGTGGAACAGGTCCAGTACAAACCAACATTTCCCTTATGTACCCAACAGAGCGCTTTAAGGTAGGGCTTAAAGATGGAGTTCCTCTTGCTGGCTGTGATCAGCATAGAACCATGTGCACATCGCCTCTCAGCTCTTAACACATTTTAACACATTTAAATTGGCGGCTCTTAGCTCTCAAATATTAAAAAACACAGGCCTCAATCCATGGCTGCTTTCAGGTACTAGAGGGGAAAGGGCATGCTCAATACCCAAAATTTCACCCCCCAGACATGTCACTGTGTTCTAGAAAGGTTTTTTGTTGTTCGTTAAATGGGGCTTTTAACAGAAATGTGGGTGAAGGAAGATAGTGTAAGATATGAAAACAATAATTTATCAAGGGTCACGAGGGTAGGAGGGAGGGGGAAAAAAGAGGAGCTGATACCAAGGCTCAAATAGAAAGCAAATGTTTAGAATATGATGGCAACATATGTACAAATGTGCTTGATACAATTGATTTATGGATTGTTATGAGAACTATAACAGCCCCTGGTAGAATGATTTATATATATAAAATGCAATCTTTTTCATGGAAAAGTAAATAAATGGGGGTTTTGCTTTGCTTTTGCTTTTAGAAATTAACACATTTGTAAATGTTTTTATATGGCAAAAACATACTCTGCCATCAATCCCCATTTGACTCATAGGTACCTTAAAGGACAGAGTAGAACTAACTACCCCTATGGATTTCCCTGACTTTTTAACTCTTTACTGAGAAGAAAGCCCCACATTTCTCCTGAGAAGCAGCTGGTGGTTTTGAACTACTGACCTTGCAGTTAGCAGTCCACTGGGTAACAACCACTATGCCACCCGGGTGCCTTTTAAAATTCCAACTCCAAACAGTCAACTTTATCAAATGCTCTTTGCTTTAGGACCAGCCAGCATGATTGAGATTTGAGCATTGGTGAACATTCAAAACCTTACAGGGCAGTGCTTCTCTACCTTCCTAATGTCATGACCCTTTAATACAGTTCTTCATGTTGTGGTGACCCCCAGCCATAAAATTATTTTTGTTGCTAATTCATCACTGTAATTTTGCTACTGTTATGAATCATAATTAAATATCTGATATGCAGGATGTATTAGGCGACCCCTGTGAAAGGCTCATTCGACTCTCAAAGGGGTCATGACCCACAGGTTGAGAACTGCTGCTTTAGGGTATATTACCAGTTTCCTCACCAGATCCGGTCCATAAACTACAGCAGAGGCAATATCTGCATGCACAGCTTGCCTTGCCTTTCAGTACCTCGGGGACAGGCTAATGAAAACCAGAAGCTTGACTTCCATCTCCTCCCCCAAAATGTGAAGCTAGGTCGGGCCCTGGGGAGGGGGTGGTTAGCAGCAACTCCACTGCTGCCAGGTAACCAGATGGGGGTAGATGTGGAATATCTGTAAGTATGAAACCTGCTGGTAACTGGTCCAAGAACACCTGTTCTAAAACTCCTCTCAAATGAAGGCTGGTGGCCTGTTCCATGTCAAGGGAAGAGATGGCCTTGCCCTGTGCTCAGGGGCCCCAGGATCCATTCTGGCCCAGGGCCCTAGCCTGATGCCATGTTCTCTGACACAGGGAACCAAATGTGCAAGGGCAGTGCCTCAAGGTTAGGCTACTCCCCTTCCCCAAAGATTTTCAACCTGGGACCCCAACATATACTCCTGACCCACAAACCTAATCTTTGAAATTGACCCCCATAAAGGTAAACTTACTAAGAAGAAAATTAAATTTTCAATAATAAGATACCTTTCAAAAAGCATTGACTAGCTTTTCCTAGTAAGCCTCACAGCCAAGAGGTAATGGGGGGGGGATCCAGAGGCTGTAGGTAAATCTGTTCTAGGGTACCCTACAAAGACTTATCTATAAAGAGGAAGGAATGCTTTCAGCTTAGCCTCTCCAACATTTTCGTGAAGGGACTCCTGTAGTTTTAATCAACGACACAGACATTAGCTCATTCTAGAGATTGCCAAGCACTACTTAAATGGACCCAAAGAGAAAGTGGCTTGTAGTGTTCATGATCCTGGGTTCGCAGCCTGTGAAGCTAGTCAAGTCAGGGAAACACTCCAGTTAAGCCATGGATATGAAACGAGACTGGACTGACCTGCTTCTACAACTGGATGAGCCATTTTCTTGCCATGAACTATGGATAGCCTTGAGAAGAATAGGAATCCCAGAACATGACATTGCTCGCATGGCATAGGGCATACTGCGTGGTTTTAAATCAGGAAAGGTGTGCATCAGGGTTGTATCCTCTCACCATCCTTTTCAATCTGTATGCTGAACAAAGCATCAGAGAAGCTGGATCATATAAAAAGCAGTGCAAGATGGGGATCCGAGGAAAGTTTATTAACAACCTGTGATACCCAGATGACACAACCTTGTTTGCTGAAAGTGAGGAGGGCTTGAAGCACTTACTAATGAAGATCAAGGATTGTAGCCTTCAGTATGGATTACAACTCAATGTGAAAAGACACCCAAATCCTCACAACCAGAACAGTAGGTGACATCATAATGGTGAAAAGGTTGAAATTGTCAAGCATTTTATCATGCTTGGGTCCACAATTAGTGCTCATGGAAGCAGCAGTTGACGGATTCCATTGGTTAAATCTGCTGCCTAAGCTCTCTTTTAGGAAGTGTTGACTTGGAGGACTAAGGTGCACCTGACTCCCAACTGCCACACATGCATGTGAAAGTTGGACATTGACTAAGGAAGCCCGAAGGAGAACTGATGCATTTGAATCATGGTGCTAGCAAAGCACATTGATCAAAAGAACAAACAAATCTGTCTCGGTCGAGGTACAGCCAGAGTGCTTCTTAGAGACTAAGATGGTGAGACTTTGAATCAAGTACTTGAAACATGTTGTCTGGCAAGACCAGTCCCTGGAGAAGAACATCATGCGTGGTGAAGTAGAGGGGTCAGAAAAAAGAGGGAGCCCGTCCATAAAATGGATATCGTGTCCACATCGATGGGGTCAAAGGTAAGAACATGATGAGGGTGGCGGAGGACCTGGCAGTGTTTTGTTCTGTTGTACATAAGGTAGTTATGAGTGGGCACCAACTCGACAGCACCTACCAACAATCATGGCATGAGGCTATACTAGGAATACGAAAATGTTATCCCCAATAGATCAAATATTTGTGAGAGAGAAGCGTCTGGGCTACCGTACATATCATACTTTGCAACAATTGTGTTGGAATGAAAAGCTGCTCGACAGTCCTTTTGTTAGAGAAAACAGTGAAAGAAAGTGATGAGTGTAAGGTTTTTAGGGTACCCCTCATGTACACCACATACAGGACCTGAACACTGTTGCTTATGCCCAAAAGAAAGCCTATATCTTACAGCGTTAGCGCTGATGTTGCTGACAAGGAAACCCAGGCTTATGCTGAATTACATACAATGCCAACTGACAATGCAACCCGGAGTGGATTAGGAAAAAAATTGGAACCGAAAACTTGGAAACAAAAACATATGGGCAGCTAATCAGGAAGCTGGAGGCCTGGAGGCCCTACTTCTGTAGAATTACTCGTGCCAAAAGAACCAGCCCTGCTGCTCCCATCCAAAGAGATCATTCCATGTTTGTAAGCCATCTTTGCTAAACCATTATTCTTTTTTTTTTTTTTTTTTACTATTATAAAAGTTTATTTAACCAAAAAAATTGAACGTGAAAAATGTACATAGCCTCATTTTTACACTGTAGTAAAGCGGGGTGCGTAGAAACAACTGATGTAGATAGAATGTTGAATGTAGCTATCATACTCGCTCCAAGGCTTCTAACATGATGATACTATTGCCTCATCACCACCATTCCAATATTGTTCTGTTGTCCACTAGTTGCCATCTCCACACATTCATCTATCACAAGATTCATAAAGGGATCAAATCCTCGAAGTATCCCTTGGACATGCCTGCCACCATTTAATTTCAATGATAACTTCTTGTCCATAAATTTTTTCAACTCGGGCGGATGAGCCTTGCTCATTGTGTCTTCTCTGGAGGGTCAGCGCTGCCTTGAAACAGAATTCGCGGCTCCTCTCACGCTCCCGCGGTCGGTCTGCGTCTTGGCGTCTCACCATTATTCTTTCCACACCTATCAGATGAGATTAACCCAGCTGAGTTTAAGTGGTTTCTGTCTCAGATGTTGCCTGGGGCAGCACCTGGAGCATTGTCTAGGGCAGGGGTTTGCAAACTAGTTTGAGAGTCATGTGTGCCTCTTTTGGTATACAAGAGCGTACCAAAAAAAAAAAAAAAATCCAGAATTGCGCAGGCGGAGTGGAGCTTTCTAGTACACATTTTTCCCCTGCAAATAAGTATCTAGCAACTAACACTGAGTTAGTGCACCCAGTGGCATCACCCGGGAAGGTTCTCTCTGGTCACACTGAATTTTTTCATAAAAGAAGT